GAAAGAAATATAAATTTTGTAATATTACCTTACATATATTACTTAACGAAAAAAATTAACAACTAATTAAAATTATCTTTACTTTGTTAAATTATAAAAATAAATAAAAACTTGTATTCAGAAGAACTTTCGAACTCTCAGAAATAAACTGTCACCTTCAACACGACAACTTCATCTTTTTCGACGTATGATTGTGTGACCATTCCGTACCAAACATTAAACTCTTTAAATTATGAGTTTTTATGCAAACTTGGTGTAAAAGCAAACAAGATGAAGGCTCGCCTGATGAAACCTACATACCTACCTATTTATGGCTTTCAAAGTTACGAAACACCATTTACTCACCTCTTCGATCCTAGCCAAAACAACAATGGGTATAATTCAGTCTACGCCGAGGGAAGTCCAGTCCAGTGCTCCAGACCGAAAATCAGTGAACTAAATTGCAAATGAAGCGGTTGACTAGGGATTCTCAATTCTATGATTGCTTGAACACGGTATTCGTCGATATCGTGGTTCATGATCGGTAAATAATTCATATATAATCAACACTTTAATGTATTTTAAGTGAAGTGCATGTTCGATACTTTTTAAAATCCTTTTTATTTTAAGTGTAATAATTTTATTTTTTATTTTTGTATATACAGATAGATACGCTGAACTTTCAGATCAAAATATTTGATTCTATATTTTATTAAAGATTTTATATTCACCAGGGCTCAATATTATTTTTATTCAAGTTAAAATATTTTCTTTAAAAACGAATTTTTCTACTTCGATTATGTTCCTAGAACTCCTCAGGTATACTAGAGTACACAACTTCGTTATAAATACAGCACACATGTACCAATGTACTAACTTTCTATCTCCACAGAGTACGAAACCATGTTTGTTAATTGTTCGCGTATTCTCTCCGTGCAAAGTCAGGTCAGAACCTTCTTATAGATTACTGAGATATGTTATATTGATATTAAATTATTTACAAAATCGTATAGAAAATTAATATCACTAGTTACATATCTTATTAATAAAGAAAAATCTACATTGGGTCAATTACAGCAGTCACTGTCACAATTATTTCAAAATCTACAATAGGAACATTCAAGACAGCAATGATACGACATTGTTATTCAACAATATAATTTCATAAAAGTAATCCCAGATCTAATTCCCGTGGGTGTCATAAAAGGTGACTATGGGAACTTAATAAACGAGAAATGGACAGCAGCTTCCCTCTTAAAATATCACCAAACCGTAACTGCGGTTCCCAATCCATCTGCCAAATATGGCAATTATTGAAAAAACTCCTCTTATGGAGAAGGCCTATGTTCACCAGTGAACAATTAATGGCTGATATAATAATAATGATAATAAAAGCCCAGTTGGAATAGTCAGTAGCAATTTTTTTTTATGCAACTTAGAATGGCAAACAAGCTGACGGCCCACCTGATGGAAAGTGGTAACCGTCGCCTATAGACATAAGCAGTACCATGGACATAACAGAGTATACTGTTTCGCCCATGATACCTGTCTACTGTTTATAAACATACACAATACTGGTGATATTTTTATATCAAACATAAGTCGAGCGCTGTCTTTTATTGATTAGGTGTTAGATTATTATCATTGCACTAACTGAAATGTTCATAATTATAATAGGCATCTCCCATCATGAGCTGTTATGGTTAGACCTACGATAAAAGAGATATACGAGTTCGTATTGACTTTCCCGTCATGTTACCAGAGGGAGACTTTGTACAAAAGTCGATTGCTTGGGTACTTCTGTCCCATTCGTGTTTCTACCATGAAGCAGTTGTGTTTGCATGGCTATTTCGGTTTGAAGGGTAGGATATGGCGTGAATTTACAGGGTACAGAGGAATAACATCTGAGTCCTCAGGAATGGCAACGCATGGGGGGTATCATGGGCGAAACAGTATACTCTGTTATGTCCATGGTACTGCTCATGTCTATAGGCGACGGTTACCACTTTTCATCAGATGGGCCGTCAGCTTGTTTGGCATTATAAGTTGTATAAAAAAAAAAATGTTCGGCATAGAAAAGACCACTTCTTTTCCCGTGGATGTCATAAGAGGCAAATAAAGGAATTTAAAGCTAAAGAGATGGACAGCGACGTCCCTCTTAAAACATTACGAAAAGCCTAACTGCGGTTACCAATTCGCTTGCCAAACGTTTGCTACGATTGGCAGGCGGGTTTAGCTACTGGCAAAATTTCTCTTATAGGGAAGACTTATGTTCAGCAGTGGACAGTTAACGGCTGATATGATGATAAACTTACCCACTTTTATTATAAAAATAAAAGCAATTACAGCCATATATTGGGTAAAAGCATGACGTTAATATTAACGTCCGACATTTTTAATTAAAGTAAGCAATAATAAAATCATCAACACAGCGGGCAAACAATTTTAATATATTCCGTAATTTGCACGGTTCGTGTATTGACGATTTCGTAAACACGTCATGATAATGCGTCCGGATCGACTGGCGAATGGGTAAATGCAGATGCAATCGGTGACTACGGGTGTTTGTAGTTACATACAAATAATTTAGTAGTGCGATCGCAATTCTGCGAGCAAATAGATAGTCCTCACTTCCGACACATGTTTCCTTGAAAGCGACAGAAAGAGCTGGTCACGTAGAATATTGACGCCTCGAGCGATTCGCCCGGACAATGCTTATGTTCAAGCTAACAGACACATTTTTATGTGGAACTATGTTGTGACTTGTGAGTCAAAATGCCCTTGATTATGCAGTTTACGTTCCAAAATTTGTCTTCGCTTGTAAGTAATTGTCTTTCGCTTCTAAGTAATTGATAAAGACTAACCTCTTTTTCATAAATACCAATTTTTGCTAATAAAGTGTTTTTCTTTCTTTCTTTCGTGCTAAATACTCAATTCAAACGAAAGTGACAAAACAGTGTGATATAAATAGTTAAAATAAAAAATTGCAATGGGTATTATTTTTGTGAATGTGTGGGGGTTATTAGGAGGATCAGGCTATTTACTATACTATCTATTATATATATTATATATGTATTTCTATTAATATACACAAATAAAAACTCTGATTAGTTTGGGACTAGATAGCGCGTAAATTATAATATTATTTATCGAGGTAATAATAATATAATGTAAGGAAAAAAAATGTGGTAAAAAAAGAAAATAAATTACCGCAAAAAATACAAATTACAATACCAGGAAAAATACATCTTTTCAAATTCTAAAATACTGTACTGTAGTTGCCAACTCACCTCCAAAAGTTCTAAGTATAACAATACTCTTGCAAATAACAAACATAAAAAGGGCTCCCGGTCCCGGCAGTTCCGCTATTTCCGAAATTGGCAGCGGTTATGATAACAGTACAATAGTGAGCTCCAAAAACTCGTAGAAAGCTTAGCTATCATCAAAATTTGTGAAACTGTCATACGTACTCGTATACACTTTGAGGACATATAAAAATACTAAAAACTAAAATAAAGAATATCTTAAATCGAAGGTTAATAAAAGATGTCATAATTTATTTCTCAAGCAATACCTTATTTTACCACCGAGAAGGGAACCATTAATTTAAAGCTATATAAAATCATTCACAGCACCAATCCAGTAGATAATAAAATTTAAGTCTGTGATGATATGAAATGAATGTGTTTATACAATGTAGGCAAATCGTATGACTGTCTTTTTTTATTTTTAAAATAACATCCTATTTACATGAAAAGGTTTGCTGGAAGAAATCTCTTATTAGAGATAAGCTCGCTTTTGTACATTATGTTTTAAATGAATTGTGGTTAACATTATATTTTGTGTACTATAAAGAATAAAGAAAGAATAAGTCTAATTAAATGAAGAATGTGCTACTAAATGTTTATAAATAAGTCCAAACGGGTAAAAAAATATACATTTCTATTATATCTAATACATATATTGTTGTACGTATTAAAATACCTATAAAAATGAAACATAAATAAAAAAAATAAGCTGCTGTACCAATACAATATCCACCTGCATTGTTTAAATATCAGAATGATAGATAAACAAACAATAACCGGGCTAAAACAAAAAGGTAACTGTTTGAAGCTATATTTATATAATTGATGAAACATAATTTATGTTTTTCGAGGTGAACGTTGCTTTCAAGAATTATACTTTATGAATTTCGATTTAGGATATTCATGTATCGTTAAGTGCGAAATATTAAGTTCTAAAATTAAATCAATTATAGAAAAGCATTTCCACCAATCTATTCTTACGGTTATTATTAGTTGTTGTACTAGTTATCATCGTAAAATACTTATCCAAATGCCATTATATTTCACTAATACAAAAACACAATATTGACTAACCCCTGAGGATAATATCATTTCATCTACCTAATTTATCTAATTCACATCAACATTAATTTGTGCATATTCCTGTACCATACTATTCGCCAAAATGGCATGTTGAAAACATGACGGCACGATATTACAGTTTCTGTTATTCGATTATCTCATCGAATCATTTTAATTCGTTCAGATTTGTAATATTGTTTTAGTAGTATTACCTCGTTGGAATATTTTCGAGTCGTTGCCAAACTTCCCTTCTCGCCATTTATGCAAATCGCAATCGTAGACGTGGTGTCGGCGTCGGGGGCGAAAATCACTTATCGCTTCAGTTAACCGTGCGATATCGCGTTCGATGCGCGTAGGCCCTTGTGAATATAAAGAAATCGAATATCATCAAATCGCTTTTTATTCGCTTTAGTACGAAGATATCGATTTCCAATGGTATTCCTATTAGCTTTAGGTATATGAGATTATTAAAAATAATGTTTAAAAAGACTTTAATTTCACATTATTCAAATTACGACTGATTTCACTCAGTAGCAAGAAGTATTAAGATAAATATAATGCTTAAAGACTTTTGTTACAATTTTTTTAATTAAATATTTCATCCCAATTGTTATATTTTGAGTATTTTATATATTTTTCCTTTGTTCACAGCTCTAGGTCTGGAACCGGATTTCCTGTACCCCTTGGAGAACGTGACCATTGCCCAGGGTCGGGACGCAATGTTCACATGTGTGGTGAACAACCTTGGTGGTTACAGGGTGAGTGGCGATTCCGCCACTGCCAGGGTGTGTATCAAACTGACTCGTTACAGCTAGCCACTTGATAGTGGAGCACCCTCACTGTGCACCTCTGGGTTGAGATCTATAATGACTTAAAATTAATTTAACCTCCCAAATTTTAACCGTAATCTGTTTAATTATACGTAATAAATTATAAAATAAAAAATGAAATATTATAATTGATAAACTATAACTTGATAAAATGACTTATCACTTATTTTGTGATTATAAATAATAAATTACATTAAATAATGCCCTGAACTGAACTTACGACCACATTAATTTATTTACTTTTAAACATTCACGTTAAAAATTAATACAAAAACAAACTTGTAACATTTAAATAAATATTTTTTATCGGAAATTACATACACAACAATTTATTTTTTTAATAAATATTTTTTTCTAAATTGTATTTTTTATTTGATATTAGAGAAAATTGATATTAGTATGTATTTACAATTTCTTTTAACTTTAACAAACAACTACTACAAAAATTATAAAATATTGACATTTTAATTTATTAAAGTTAACTACACGAGTAAATCCGGTAATATTAATAAAAAAAACTATTTTTGTATCGTAAACAAAGCCCTGGAGTATATAAGTATAATCATCATCATTATCTCATAAAATAGTAACAAGAACTATTTATGAAAAAATTAATAAGTTTAAAATGTAGTAAACATAAAAATCATGTAATATTCAATATTAGTCATATTCTTATTAATATTAGCATTGAATATTTTTTTTATGATACTGAACCTTTTTTTGACTTAGAAGCAGTAGCCATTAGTTTTAATATTAGTACCTATTCAAATAAATTATATTTATAAATATTATATTATGCTACTCATTATTGTATATCATTTATCACTCCAGGGTCGGTATTACTTTTCTGTAATTAAATTATTTGAAACTGAATGCACCATTACAGATCTCACCCGATAAACCTATGCACCGACTTCCACACTTCTATAGCACACTTCGCACTTCTATAGTACACTTGGTATTTCTTCAGCACTCTTTCCAATCACGTGCACCTAGTACCTATGTCTACCTAGCATAGAGTACAAATTAATTTGCACAAAACTAAGTATACAATAGCTGTAGTGTTAGCACACTAAGGCACTTAGCACTAGACACTGACACATACACTAAGACCTAAGAATATTTAAGAAAACTGTATATTAATTTTGTAAATATATACACTAACAGATATATATATATTATTCTTAGGTCTTATTAATAATTTTGCACAACTTCTTTATTATTTTAAATTTTATTTCTGAGCATGTAAACCCCAGCACTCTTCCGCGAGTTTTCACTAACTTTTATCTTCCAGCAAATAGCCTTTGTAATTCAAAAACAATATACCTATCTGTATGTCGATAGCTTTAAGTCAATAATGATCTTAACAAAAACCACAAACCCTACTATGATTGAACTATTTCGAAGATAGGAAATTTACGTTGCAAAACAGTCACTTTACGAAATTAAAATAAAGCCGGGACTAACCCCCTTGGTCCCTGTTCAATCATTTCAAGAGGCTGTGCTCTCAAACTGTCCCGGGAGTTAATCTAGAATACTATCTTCTAACCATTCGATAATATAAATACCGCATGCGTAAATCCTTCAGAACATTATTCCAGTCCTTTGTGAGAAATATTTCTACTATATTCGATCCCCGATGTTGTTATATTTTTAATATAAAGAATGGCAAATACTGACATTTATTTTATTTATCACACATCTCTTCGATTTAGGAAATATACGCCATTGGAGAATATTCAAAGGAAAATATTCGCTATTCGTCCATATATTACATCAGAACAAGTTGATAAATACTTACGAGTAGGTATATCAGTTGTGAATCGATTCGGGGAGAAACAAGATTCGATAATAGTCTCTTTGGGACCGTTACCGTGGGTCACTCTATTTCCTCACGATATACCGATGAATTCACTATATCGATGTACGTTTGCTTTGCCATATCGATTTTCGTAAGTAATTACATGGCACTAATAATATCGGCACGTGTTTGTATCCCCTGTGTTGACTTACGATATACAGATTTCAGATGGAAATCTCGTGGGTATCCTTTATGTCAACAACCTAACATTTTTTTTCCGATATTTATTCATATCGATACCTTCACTTAGGTATATGTTTTCAATCAGCAAATAAAATGTTGACACATATACACTTTCTATTTAACACAACTTCGATATGCACCTCTGGTATGGATGAGTTCCAATTGTGGGTAACTATATTTTTTTTTGTGTTTATACTAACATAGTTATTGACAATGCAATTCCAATGTTGCCATTGTAGGAAATATATAATATAGTGCTAAAGCTATATAAAAATCATTATAAGCTATTTATACAAATATATACAAAGGCTTGTTTGCAATAATAGGTAATTAGCTAATTTGCTTCACCGCGAATCTCATAGGCAATCACACCGCAATAAGCACGAGTCGTGTTGCGGTCAATACTGACAGTTTAATTTTATTTTATATACATACTGTTTACCAGTATTTTATGATCTTATGTATCGCACTACATAGTTAGACCTTTGCTTATCAGGATATTCCCGTTACTGCTTTCATGACACTGAAAAGAATATACGGCTGTTTGGAATTGCATCGTTTGCCTTACAATCCTTTCATAGCTTATTCAAATAATGTAAATACTAAAGAGCATTATGAAAAGAAAGGGTTGTATTTGTGTACAAAGCGAAAACATTAAGGTGTTTTCTTATCCCTCACATTGCACACTTTAATGTTTTGCTATGTTATTATATTTTGTAGTCAACTTTCACAGTAGGCATCCTATTAGTGACACAACTAGTGTTGTTTATGCACAAGCACTATTATTGATTTAGTACCTATATGTCACCTAAATTATGTCCCTATTCACTTTTGTGTAGTGCACTTCTTATGCACCAATTCACTATTTATTTAGTTATTAAAAATAATAAGAAATATATTTTAATATATAATATTTACCTAAGTCAATTCAAATATTCAGTCTAGTGTATCTAATTAAAAAAAAGTATCTATGAATAACTTGTTACCGTTAATTGTATAATTTTTAAAATGTGTCCTTATTAATAATAAAATTGTGGTAAATAGTTCAAAATTCAAATGTGGATATCATCTAGTGAATATATTATTTTTAGCAATGGAATTTAATACCCAACTCAGAACGTACACCAGAGAAGTATAAACGCCATATTTCTGTTCGTTTTTTGTTACGCGCTATGCAGGAAATTAGCTTCTATTGCGATGTCGACGCTTTTGGTAAAGCGGGTGAAACGAGGGCCGTTTTCACAGTCCGCCCGCAGAGCGCTATAGCGGCGACCAGACGAAAATGTAATTAAAAATTCCGAGAGCATTTTGCGAGGAGCTCGCAACAAGATAGTGTTGCTTGCTGGCTCAAGGATCGTTGTCGCGACCGCCTCTTGGGAAACATTCAGTTGTAATTAGACTTGTTCACTGTAAAAGTCTTCATTCCCATTTTTTACAAGTCGCACGATAAATGGAGATAATCGTTACAGAAATGTGGCGTTTCCACGCTGTACATTTCGTTTTATTAGAATGTTTTCTTCTATTCCCCTCTTACTCGGGCACTGGTTTGGCCGGGGTCAGGTTGCGTGGATCAAGGCGGACACAAAAGCGATCCTGGCTATCCACGAGCACGTGATAACGAACAATGCGCGGCTGAGCGTCACGCACAATGACTACAACACTTGGACGCTTAACATCAGAGGGGTCAAAAGGGAGGACAGAGGACAATATATGTGCCAAGTTAATACAGATCCGATGAAAATGCAGGTAAAATATTACGCTCACCCTATTTAATTATTTGCACGGTATTCGAGGTTGCGAGAAAAGACATAAATAATAAAGTTACTTTCATGCAAATACGAGCGTGTAGTCAATTACAATTTATTATTAATTGTTTTTAATCATTTAGTATTTTTATGTAACTTAGATAGCAGAATATACTGAGAAAGTGTTATAAAATTTTATTGCTAAACGCAACTACTTTAGGTCAGAAACCGAATGGGGTAATGGACAACTTTTGTAGCTTTATAAGAGTTGAAATGTGAAACAAGCTCCTTACTCACCTAATGGAAAGTAGTAACTATCGCACCATGAGTCTCACTTTATAAACTCATGGCCCTCCCATGCTTTGTCATTTCTACGAACTAAACTGCCTGCCTGGTATTGCCATATCCCATCATTCTGTCCAAAACATAACCACCCAAATGCAGCGGCTTATGTAGCAGAACATAAGTGGAACGAATACACTCAGAAGATAACTATTCTTTTTAAGTCTTCTCTTGTTTTTATAATCCAAGATCGTTATTAAAATATAAATTATTTTTCAGACAGCATTTTTAGAAGTGGTGATACCACCAGATATAATATATGAAGAAACGTCGGGAGACATGATGGTACCAGAAGGCGGGTCAGCTAAGCTAGTATGCAAAGCAAGAGGGTATCCGCCTCCAAAAATTGTCTGGCGAAGAGAAGATGGCGGTGATATCATATCAAGGGGTGGGCCACAAGGGAAAACTAAAGGTAACTGATATATCAATTTTTTGTTTTTCTATTACCTATAGTTTACAGATCGTTTATTAGAAAGAGACTTTGTATAAAAATGATCTGCGTGGGCACCTGTTTCCTGCTCGTGTTTCTATCACCAAATAGTTATACTTTAAGATTAACCAATAAATAGAATTAAATTAAAAAATAAAAGATAGAAGCACGGCAAAAACAGAAAGGTACTTAAAAAAAAATAACAAGTAATAATTTGGCCACAAGGTCTTTACTATTTAATTTTAAAAAGCTATGCAGCGAATTGCATGGAGTTGCAGTCTATGGAGAGGCCTATATTCAGCAGTGGATAAGTCACGGCTGATATGATTATGATAATACTTCTAGTACAAAAGGCAGTTTTAATTACTAATACTATTTCTCTTCCAAACAAGAATAGAATAGAGAAAGTCGTAAATAAATAGATGACGCACATCTACAATTACTATGCTAGTAAGCCATATACATATCTGAAAATCAACACAAATTTAACCAAAGTAACCTGATTAAGTGAAACTCACATGAATTGTAAAATAAAAGCTATTAAACTATTGCGTGCTTTGATCCGATTATTTACTTTAATAAGGTTTAGTAGCTACTCACTTTAATCACAATAATTATTACACAATTTGCTAGATAAAACTCAAAATCTTTTGTTACTAGATATAACTATATTATTAAACTTTAAATACTAGTGACTTCTATATATATAATGTTTATAATAATAAATATTATATAAAAGGCGAGCTTAATGCTGTTGGCATTTGCATTCACATCATATATATGTTATCTATTATAATTTATTAAATCATATATATATATAAAATACCAAACGAAACAACATCGACCTGATCAGGTATATTGCTGGCAATGGAGTTGTTAAATTCCATTAGATGCTAACAACCTCATTTCCCCCGATTTATTTCATTTAGGACTAACTAGCGCTGTGTAATATATTCAGTGGTTATTACTGTTACTTCGTTTCCATTTATCAGTAGGTAATATTTGCATAACTATCAAGAGACATATAAAGAACTTGAAGTAATGGGTAACAAATAAATCAGAGTTTAAAATATTCACTATTGAATCTAAGCAGTAAATCACACCGCAGCACCTTGGGGAGCTGCTATTACCATTCACACCGCCCTTTCTAATCCCACTGGATTACAACCTCGAGACGGTCCGGAATAATTACTTACCTACTCATCTCTGCATTCGGCCAAATAAAGAGCCGGATGAAGGCTAAAATTACGCAATGTTTAAATAATAATATACTGCCATTATTACTTATATCTCGCTACCTTTTTTTATTCCATTTTTACATCGCACAAATAAAATAATTTCTATTATAAAAAAAAACGGTATTAGAATGAAGTAGATTAATTCTATCTACGTAATTGATTGAAGAATTTAATAAAGGTTTTTTTTATTCAATTACGTAGTATAAAGCCGAATCAAAAATTATAGTACGCACAAGTGAAATTCGTGACAAGTGGCAAATGGCAGCTTTACTGACAGGGTGATTAATCAGCAGGTTCCACTTAACCCCACCACTGTTCAGACCTTCTATAGCCATCAGTCAATTCATTAAGTTAACAAAGTACTAAGGGTAACGACTTTCACAGCTACTCCATTTCAATAGTTTGAGATCAACTCACTAAGCGCCGCAACGCCCATACATTTGATATAACGACAAACCTCTAAGTTCGAGAAATATAATATGTTCTCTGAGAAATATTTTACTCCTTAGTAATGAGAGTGCGTAACAACTTACAAAATTAAACATAATTGCGTAGTTATTAAGGTGAAGCCCATTTTGACCGATTTTAAATTAACTAACTAACATCAATAACAATCATCAATTTGAGTGAAGAAGTCTAATTAAAGAAGCCGTTACAAGTTACCTCCATAAATCTGAGCTGGAAACAATACAAGCTATCCATTACGTAGGCCAATGTTTCTTCGCTTAATATTCCAATGAGGAAACTTCGAGGGGCGTCCGGTTCGACAACCATAGTTTTTTAATGAACGGAAACATTTTCAAATTTGTTACCTCGACTTACAAACTTAGAGTGTATAAATCAATTTAAAATGGATTCTGAATATAACTTATTAAATAAATTTACGATCGTGTGTGTATGTAAAACTGTAAGATCTAAGTTAATATCTTTCTTTTTGAATATAATAACTACTGATCTAGCTTATGTGTAATTTGGTCAAAAGGTTTCTCGACCAAATTACAAGTTAAATCAATAGCTATTACATTACAATATATACTTACGAAACTTTTAACAGTATCCTTCTATTAACTCCAAATAAAAAAGGGATGAGTTTTTATCTAACAAACTATTCTAGCTCAGTTACAATATTTTGTATCAAACGCGTAGATTACGCATCGTTCCAAACGATTGTAGACATAATAATTTACTTCCTCGTCAGATATTTTAAATAAAATATCATCACAACATATACAAATCAATAAATCGTTATTGTCATACATTAATATTTGTTTGCATATTTCGATACAGATATGACGTATTTATTCCCATATGAAACAACACAAATGCAATAACGATATAATTACAACGACAGCAAACAGTACAGTACTAGGTAACAACAGACAAAGGGGTATTATTCAAAATTTGCCCTTTATTGTTTCGCATAAAACATGTTGTGGTGACAACGGCGTGTCGCATGCCTATTTGTTTCATGTTCTACAGCAAATTATGCAGATAAGCGAATGAATGGCGGAAACTTACCCGTACACTGATGCAAATTAACTTCGCCATCCTTCTATTCGACGCTTTTCATCTACAAAGTTTGAAACAGATACAGGGAGTGCCCCTTCACCTTATCCGGACTTGTTAATCCCCATTATCAAATAACTTGAATATTTAATAACCATTTTTGATTTCGAAGGAAAATGTTTGCATGAATCAGATAAAAGCTATTCACGACCACCCCAATTACAAGAAAATCCATTAAGACTTATCTATTTCGATGCCTTATTAAACTCGCTTTTCTTGGGGTGGTGCGCACGGCCTAATAGAAAGCAATAATTACCTATTCAGTATAAAGTCAGTACAACACTTTTCGAGTTACTAATTAAAATTATAACTTCGAAACAAAGAGTGATAGGAGTGTTGTTATTCAATTTAACTCGAGGGTACTTGGAGGAAGGACTGCGCCATGAAATTTGTTCCCTTGCGGCATAGACTTCGAAACTGTCATGATCTGCAATAAGTTACTTCTAATCTATTATTTTTAACAATTGACAATATTGTACTTATATATAATTAAATATTAGTAAATACTCTTGTAAATCCCTTTTTATTTACTTCATGTCGGTTTATAACATATTTCCATTACTAATTTGAAATTTTGTATGTAAAATGTGCTGAATTATTTTACACAATGCATTAATGTTTTTTTTTTTTTTTTTATATAAAATTTTCAGACCTACATTAAAGATTTTACATAACCTCTTATTATATTATTAAATTTGTCTTATTTTTAACATTAACAATATAATCAATAGGAATAAATAATTATTTGCCATTAGACAGAAATTATTCTCGTATTGTAGTTATGTTCTAAAGGTGCGTTATTTCTAAATTCTTGTGCAATTAATATCATTTTAGAAATTAACATTCTAATAAATTACTTAATATTTAAAATTTTATTAAATGGATTATTAATACAAATTAATTAAATTTACAATACTTCATATTATGTATTAGCTATTTCCGGCGGCTTTTCCCGCCTGAATCAGTATATAAAGTAACCTGAGTGTTAAGTTAGGATATAACCCACACGTGTTCAAATCTCTACTACCATTTAAGCGTGATTGAGTAACAGACATTCAAATATTTTTTACAAACTTTCATATTTATAATATTAATAGAATTTTTTTGTCATTGCCATTTACATTAATTTCTTATATCTATGGAAAAACCACTAGGGTCCGTGGCGCTTAAGCGTCACTTGACTTATGACACATCGACAACCCAAGTTTATTCAACGGCCTGCCTTGAAGATAGCCTGCTGGCTCCATAGAGTTTATGTCCAATTATTTATTTCTTATTAGGTACTTATAGTACATATCATATAACCATTGTCATTTCTTACTGTTTATACTTAGGTTTACGTAAGTAAAAATTATTCCTACTTCTTTCTGGCCTTATCAACGATCTGTATTCGAGCATAAAAAGTAATATAATAGTATAAGAACCAATCAGTGGTCCAACGCTTTTGACATGTTCTGAACGATTACAGGATAATTCGAGACATTCTATCTAGGCATGTCCATTGGATGAATGGTATAAGATTTCTATATATTAAAATAATGCATAATGTGTCTTCAGGTGGGAATTTGACTATGCCAAGTAAACCATTACCTTTCAATGCCACAAAACCATTTGTAACTCAAATTTATTATTTACTTTTTCAGGAATAAAAATATCAGGTATTTACGAGCACGTAATTTTAAAAATAAAAACTCATTTACTAAAAAATTATACATTCTAACTAGTCAAAATTCTTTTGAATAAAATGTTATTATGAATATAAGGTATTCAATTTTTGAAAATAAATATTCATTTAATCTTTAATTGGAAATCGCATAACCAACGACATACCGTAAAAACTCTGTAACAGGTGTAATGTGTAATTTTTATATAAGAAAATTAACCGAATTGAAAGCCTTCTGTTGAAAATTATTTAATATATAGTATATAATACAGTAACTGTAAAAAAACAGAATTAAATTACATGTACGAGTATCTTAGTCGAGAATAAACCTGGATGACCCCGAAACTAGCCGAACATTCTCAACTAAAATTTATTCTTACAATTAAAACATAATGTTTACTTTTAAAACTTTTATCAATAAAATAAATAATTATTTACTCTTATAGAAGCATCACACTTTACGGAAAAAAATTTGAACATTGAAATAGCTCCATCGCTTATGTTCTCTCGTTGTTTGCTAACGAAACGTCGTGCGGCCGGGCTCGAGAGCTCTACACTTTAAACCATCAACCTTCAGCTCCTTCGGAAAATATTGCCCCAGCTTTTTATCCTCTTGTTTGAATAATGGCTGTAAACGTACTCGGGTGCCATTTGAGCAAGGTGTCAGGAAAACAGCTCGAGTTCAAACCACTAACGGTGCTTGTTTACAGAACCCGTCAACTTTTGGCGGTTAGAAGTGTTTTCCAACAATTCTAGTGAAATGCAAAGTAAGCACTACAACTAATAGTGCCTCAAACGACTCAACGTTGACTTTTTTAATAAGTTTTAAAGATATAAATAGATTGGGTTGTTGTTAAAAAATTATGAAGAATACATCAAAATACTTCAACTTTACTACTCGTAGTATAATATTTTTTTGTAAAATTGGAAAGAAAATTGCAAAATGAACATAAAATCATTATAATTGTTTATCTTTTGTTCGCAGTAACATCACTGGAAGGTGATATAGTAAATTTAACGAAGGTGACCAGATCAGAAATGGGAGCTTACTTATGCATCGCCGCTAATGGTGTCCCTCCATCCGTCAGCAAGAGAATAATGTTGCATGTGCATTGTGAGTATTCAATTGTTAATTTACTTTTGTTCCTTTAATAATCTTTGACAGAAATTATTAATATAGCACTAAACCTTTCTGAAATGTCTAATAGACTTCCAAGTAAAATAAATAAGTAAATATATTTTTTAATAAGAGAAATTTATTTATCATAATTTCATTAGTATTATGAACAATTTCTTAGCTAATATTTTCTTATGTATTTATCAACTTTCTACTTTTCTATAAACTTAATTTATTACACTAGTTAGTTTATTTTACTAAAAATACTATAGCAATTGTCTGAAGATGAAGATTTATTATTTGTAATGTTTTATCTGTATAATATACTCGCTTTTTCCCGCTTTTTTTTTATACATGGATTTTGATAATAGGGAATCAACTTTTAGACAGTCTATCAAAATGAAACACCAAATTTTAAGTTTGATCCTCAGAGATACAACTCGGTGTAGTCGTTTTAACATGATACTGAAATAAACTTATAGACAGACAGACAAAAATTCAAAAAAATTACTGTTATAGCTTTTCTTATTAAGACTATTCTTATTAACCTCTCATATCATATTTTCTTAAACATCTACCATATATAGACATCTACAGACACAGTCAGACAGTCTAGTGACAGTTTTATCATAATGTAATATAAATAACATAACACAAGGCATCTAGTGACATTAAATAAATCTACAATTTCTAATATTCCTACAAGATTCTAAATAAAATGTGTACGTAAAGTACGACGTGATGAAGTAAAACATCGATTACGAATTCCCCCCGTGAATCAATTGAGCCGATAAAGCGTACTCACCTGCGTAAAGCAAGCAAAAAGCGGTGCGAGCGAGCGAACTCACTTATCTCACGATCTTCGAGACTAATTTATAAGCGGTGAGTTATTCAATGTAGGGAGCTCAGGGCACCGAAGACCCTAGTCTCGAACACGTAAGCAATTGGTAGATTTTCGTGTTATCACGTATCATCTTTGGTGCGTGTCTTGCATCTGAATTTGAACGCTGAACGCCGCCTGTAGTCGGCAACTTGGTTGTGTTCAGTGAAAGTTAGCTTCTCGACTACACAAATGTTCAGTGTTTATATCCTATTAACGATCAATAAATCTTTGGGATTTCACAAAACTTTCATTTGTGAAGAGTACTGAATAACATTTATATTTCGGAAAATATTATTTATATTTCGGATCTATCTATCAGAAAATCATAACCTAAATTTTAAAATAAGTAAAACAAAGTTATGTTTATAATTTTTTTTTAATATTTTCACGACTATTTTCATAAAATAAAAAAAGAACAATAGATCGATGCAAAGTATAAAATAATTAAACTTGTATTAATCTAGTAATTCAGACAATAGTAGGAAATCAATATTATAAATAGAGATTCAACGCATGGACTCATTTCCATTCGCATGGATAGTATGATACAATAGGGAATTGCCGTAGCAACAATTCATGAATCCGAAAACTCATCTAATTTGGAATTTGATTTCTAATTTGTTTCCATTTATTTGGGATGTATACTGAATCATATTCAGATAATAGAACACCTAAACCTGAGTACATACTGGACATTAATTTCAGCTTGATAACTCTTTTAATTTCTTTTGAATCTTATATACATACCTATATGTTTGATTTTTTAACATTTCAATTACTCTTTATATTAACATACGAGTATAATCCTTAATAATGTTGTAACAACTCAATCATTAATTATCTCGGCCATGCAAGCGAAATCGCGAGCACAGCTATTATTTTATAAATTATAAATCTAGGATCTTACAGTGTTTGTACATGTATACATAAGCCATCCATCAATTTTATAAGCCCAACAAACACAATTTCATATACAATGTGTCGTGTAAAAAGTCGAAATATACTCAATCACGATCCGTGACGTTTATTCTAGCTGCGTTCGTATTTTGTTTTTCATTTATTAATTAACAGTTCTAAATTCATTGATTGTGTCCATTCATTTATAAGCTTAGTTAAATATTAAAGTTTTTCAAAGCTTTCGCCAGGCAGTTGGCTCGTTGCTGGTCCGATCCGTGCTGTTGTCCCCGAACTCTATTTGCATTCTGTTATTGGCTGTTCCATGTATACAGTCGTCTGATTGGGTCAATATATTTACAACTACAATTTTATCAACTATATGATTATATAAAACACTTGTATTTATTGTAAAATGTTTTTGTTATTTACACACACGACTGGTTAGAAATACAGTGAAACAAGTACGCATAAATATTTTGAATAATATCATCGTGTCTATGTAATAAAGATCCATCAAACAGTCACAATACAAACAAAACAAAAAAAAAGTGAATTGATTCATTAAAAGTTTGATTTAAAAGTCCCAACAATTTTATCATACAGTATAATAATACTTGGCCGTGTGGTCCCGACATAGAATAGCCTCCCTCTCCCCTCTTCCTTTCCTAAGGGTGTTGTAAGAGGCGACTAAATGAATATAATGGCAGAGGGATTGGCAACAGCGTCTTTCTTAAAAGATCTCTAAAAGCCTAACTGCGGTTGTCAACCCGCCTGTTAAACGTGGGAACTACTGGCAAATCTCCCTTTATAGGGAAGGCTTATATCCAGCAGTGGTTAGTTAACAGCTGAAATGATAATAACAAAATTTAAAAGTCCCTTATGTAAACTGATCATTATAAACTATTTTCAAAGAAATGTGAGTCTACAGTTTGAAAACGTAAATTATTCAAGCTTTTCAAATTACCTAACTCATAAAATACGTAATATTAAAATGCCGATAGCGCAATATCAAACTGTCATGAAGAATTGTGAACTTTAATCAAAAATGTAATCCAAAATGAATCGGTGTCGAACAAGTTATCTTTGAGTTCATATCTATTAAATAGATACTTATGGATACAATAGCTCGAGGACTTGACGACAGCCAAGAGAAATTCACTTCATAGGAAACGCAATTTCAAGCGAACAAACAAACTACTGCCGTCTGAAACCCTTCCACTCAGTTTAATTACTTCACAAAGAATGCGTCGCGTTCGCTCGATGAGGAGACAAAATTAACGCTCTCAAATATTTAATTTAAATTTCCTCCCCCGAAAACGAATGATAACAGTGGGTCGTGCAGACTTGTGGCCGCGGTGAGAGAATATAAAAAAATTAAATCACCAACACTCAGGCAATTCATTGTTAACAGTAAGTGCTTCGTAATGCGATGAGTTTCTTTTACTTGATTCACAGAAACCGAGAAAAGCGTTAAATTGTGTTTAGATAAAAAGAAACACGAATAAACGAAGTGAACAAATCGCTATCAATTTGCCGAGACTTGCGATTCAGTATAATTAATTTCACGACTCATCATGGATTAAGCCAAAAGAGAAAGAATAAATATTCTCTTTAGCTCTCTAGAGTTAGTAACTAGAGTTGCGAAACACAGTCAACTTATACAGGTTGGTAGTGGATATAAAATGCCAAGAAATCCGAAAACGGGCGAGGCGTGTGCGCCGCTCGGTTAATCAAACTGTCACTTCAAGAATTCCGCGCGGAATCTTTACCAAGAAAACTCCCCGTAACTTTTGATTGCTGCTGAGAATACCTATAGGTAGACCCTATAAACCTATTTAAGAGTTGCTTAATTACGTTCCTTATATAAATTGGAACTTGATGTTATTGTTATAAACTATTAATTTCCATCCCCAATTTCAATCAAATTAACATTTCAGCGCCTCATTATTCTGCTTTATTTAATAAGCAAAAGATTTTCTTCGCCACGCCTTCGTGTTATTAATTAGAACAAAAATTCTGATCGTTCAGATTTTGTTCGCTAAATTGGCCACTCGAACTCGTAAAAGCCGTCCAAAGGAACTTAACGACGGTCAAAGAGAATAACCGCAAATAAGCTCCGATCTAAGGCCGAGTAAGAAAATTCCGTTTTCCTTAATTCACCCTAAACAGACTTCTGGGGATGTTGGTGCGATTGTTTACATTTGTGAAATAATCCGTTCTTTTTAGAAACAATTTGACGCTTTTGTTTCTCTGAGGCGACGTTTTGGCTCTTTGATGTTTGATATTCGCCCTCTCTTTAATGTTAAACCAAACTTACTTTAAGAATTTGCAAGTACAATAGAATTACTTCCTAAAATTCTTTACTTTGATCGCGATATTAGTTAGTGTCAGATTGTTAGTGTCAGACTGTACTCTTTATAAGACAGCTGTTGAAAAAAACTCCAAGATAAAAATATTTTTTTAAATATTTGTATTATAAGGATTACATACAGCATTAAACTAAATTAATTTTTGGATATCAACAAAACATCTGTTGAGATCAGTTTAATATATAGTTTTCATACGAAAAGGAATCAAAATGCTAATGCAAAACTTTGGTCTGGTTTTTTTTCTAATAATTTTATTTTATATAATACTCTCTCTGAATATAATAAATATGCTAAGTATCATATTGTAATTATGTAGAATATCACTGTATAAACTACTTGAAGATTATGCTAAATTTCAACTAAATTAATAATATTATGACTATACGAAACTTCTATAATCGAGATTATGTTATCTAGGAATATAGCCAAATGTTCATTTGTTTTAAGTCCTAACTAAGCTATCGGGAATCTCGACTTTAATTGCGAACAAACAACTAGTCCAGTAAACACTTGATACAAACAGTATGCAGACAACTCTAGGATAATATTCAAAGTAAACACCTGACAGTAGCAGCGTTTTAACCACCAAAGTGGCGGAGTGGAGTAGAAAAGTAAATATTAAGCGAGAGCGACACTCTAACGTGTGACGCTAGAAAACTATCTCGCTAAACGCTTTAATGTGAGGAGACCAAAACGATAACCTTGTATAGGCTTTGTCAATTTCACAAAAAGTATCTGAATTCTCATTTATACATCTAGCACCAAGTTTTGAGTCGACAATATTAGGTATTTGAATACTTAAATCATAGATTTATAGGTCGTATCATATATTATCATTATTTTAACAATTAAAAACTATTTAATAAGTACGTTTTAGACTTCACTTTTAGAATTCCTAAACAGTAGAAATTCTTATAGTTGTGATTATCGTATATTAAAATTTACCCATTTTAGATTACTGATATCAGTGATTTTATTTCCATTTTAAATTATTCGACAATCTTGAAGTAAAAGTATTTGATTTATTATATTAACTATGACATTACTGATAATAAAAGCTAATTACATAATAGCTCTACTCCAGCTCCTTTCTGCGCTGACTAGTTGAAATGCTTGTATACCCTCAACTATCTTTACTACAGCATCAAACTTACTTCAGAAACTAAACAATTCCTTGAGTAGCAATTATAGCAATTGCTTTATAACAACTATATCTTACCGTATTATAAATATTTAAACAATAGCTCAGGAAGATAAATTATCTATAAACCGACTAAGTCGTTAGACACAGAATAAAGTAAACATAAATCAATTACGATTTTGTTTCGTCTGTATGTCGATTTTAAAGATTCCAAAATACATTTTTATCACCAATGAATTTAATCTAATAAAAACAAAATACTTAGTTTAAAAATTAAATCAAATTGAATAGCTTGAAAAACGATTAAGGTTGTTAAAACTTCGGGTCCCATTTTCTAAATAATAGTTAAAAATTCAAGGTTTAATGTTTTAGGCTTTAGTATTAAACTCGAGAAAAGGTCAAATTAAAATAAGTAAATGTTTATTAAACATTGCAACTAAATGTAATAAACTGAAGTAATAATAGTAATTCAACCTCTACGGAGTTATTCAAAACGGTATATAAAGATTTTTTGAAAATTGAAAACATCGTTCACCATTAGAAAGATCATATGCTCATTTACTAATATTAATATATAAAAATTAATAATTGTAGAAGCTAAATAAAATAGGCCTCACTAAATTTGTGCATTAATAGGCTTAACTAGCCGATGCATGTAAACAACAATGTGCCCAACATCCGAGCGAAATTCATATAGCCACTGTTGCACTTATACGTAAACGCGCCCTAATTCAAGCAAATGCAGGGGATTTAAACCAAACAGAGAGTTATGTGGATAAAAATGCAACTGAATCTGCAGTGCAGACTTTCACGTTTTATTACATTTATTATTTTACTACGAAATTGTTATAAGAAATAAATGAACATTATTTTCAACGCTTTTTAAAAAAAATGAGGAGTTTCTCGATTAGGTTGTTATTTTATGTTTATTACTTCAGAACTCTGTCTTTTATAACCCGATTTTTTATCTGAAAAGATATGCTTGCAGATTGATCCTATAGAAATTAGTTCAGAGACAATAGATTATTGAAGTCAATGTTTTTATTTATGTGGAACAAAATTTACTTGTTTACGAACTTATAGAGCATTACATTTTTTTTTTTTTATTTTTGACATATCAATTTCTATGATATTGGTAGAATTTGTTTATAATTTATTTTAAACCTGAATAGTCATCTACACATATAAAATTCTTAGCTGTATCCCGTGGCTTCCATCATCATATTGTTATGTTGAATATAACCTTCCTTAATACATTTATTACTTATCTATCGAATGCAAAAATATTTTTTTTATATTCAACTAATAAAGACTAACGCGTTTAAACAAACAATGAAACCTTTTGCTTGATTATATTACTGGCTTTTACTCGCGACTTCATCTGGGCGACTGGGATATGTTCACTGATCAAGAAAAAAGCTGTCCTTCTCTATCCCATTCATTATAGATATATAACAAATTTACTAATAGTTAAGTTTATTACTAAGAAGTAACAAACAAACTCACTTTCATGTTAATAATAATAGTAAATATAATATTATTCTTACTAATGGTTAACTTATAGTGTTACGTACTACTTATACTTATCACCTGTGGTCCTACACTATATTTATTACACACTATATAATTAATAAAACAACACTAATAAATGTAATAAAAATATAAATTTAACAAATAATTAATAATTTTTATTTATTTATTTATATATGCGCATTCATGTACATAATATAGTGTTGTTACAATGTTCTTATCTAGAGTAAGTACATTAAAAATCTTGTTTGGGTGTAACTAAATTATATTGATAGATAGCTAATATACATGCATTAATGTCAATTTAGATGTCAGATTATATTTAATTATTTTACATATAATTATTCGTTTTTGAATAGATTTATCATGCAATAAATTTAAAATATTATATAAAAATAAATTGAAGTTAGTCTAATTATCTAGGTATATAATATTTATGTATATTTATCTGGTTACATACAATTTAATTAATTATTTGCATGTTGCAAAAACAATTTGCTATTAAATATTTTTTAGTTTAGTATTAAATAATTTATCTCTCTTTTCATTCTTTATGTCTTCTTGAATTTTAATATATATATATATATATATATATATATATATATATATATATATATATATATAATGAGTATAATTTATATATAATGGGCTATTCTTAAAATTGTCATTTTTGGTTCTGGTAGTTCTATTTTGTTTTTACGACAGGGCTTTTTTTGAAAATTTATATGATTTTATATTTTCTCTAATTTTTTATTGTTTCTTATGGTGAGAAATATTAGAATATCCTTAGAAATAACTGCGCCTACACTATGTAATCAAAAAAAATACGAAATAAAATCCTATGCCAAGCCACTTGCCCGAGATCTAGAATCCTCTGCTTATATAGAGAGTGCCATGCCCAAGAGAGTGTTTTTTTTTTTATATAACTTAGAATGGCAAACAAGTTGACGGTCCACCTGATGTAAAGTGGTAAATGTCGTCTATAGTCATAAATAGTAGCACAGACATAACAGAGTATACTGTTTCGCCCATGATACTTTCATGCGTTGCCATTCTTAAGGATTAAGGTGTTATGCCTCTATAACCTGTAAATTCACTGCTATATCCCTCTCTTCAAATCAAAACGTAGTCATGCAAACAAAAGTGCTTCACGGTATAAATCCTAATATGACAAAGATGTCCAAGCAAACGACTTTTGTGCAAAGTCTCCCTCTCGTGCTAAAAAAATTACAGGAATGAGACCTATTTCTGTAATTTTATCGTATCCTTATTATACCAATATATATATACAGTCGTCACAAATTAAAATTCCATTCCGACCAACTGTGGGTATGAGTGGCAGTCCTATACTATGCGTTTCTGTACATACTTTCTTCCACATACAACCAAACTATGGAACCAACTCTCAGTATTTGCTTGGAAATTTTATAACACATTAAAACCTGCAAGAAAAAAGCATATTCTTTCCTAAATGACCAGCAACACACCTTCAACTTCTTTGATGGCAAGTGAGCCGTTTGCTTATTTGTACCTATACAAATGTTGAATTTTCAAGCTAAATCAAATTTTAGCAAAATATGTATATTCCGTTCTTTAACTGTTTATTCAATTTTTGGTAAAATTGAATTATAACAAAAATTCATGTTCGAATTGAGTAATTTACAATGTGCCCTATTGTTATTTCTTTATACGAGAACAATAAATCACTCTTAAAAATAGTAGATTAATCCGATAAATGGTTTGTAAACCATTATATAATTTATATTTCTTTTTTGTTAAAATTTAGCATTGTTGAATAACCGAGGTGGCTCCATCAAATACTTGGTACAAAAATAAATTCTTTGATTTATTAAGTTAGTTTACACTCAAAAGAACTGATTCTATTTAATTTGTTTTCTGACGAGTTATTTGAATATTGTACATATATAAAGTGACTAGATTTCAAATATTATAAAATACCAGCAATTGCTAAAATATGTATACCAAATTTTATATTAATCATAGAGCTAACTAATGATCATAGAGTGGCATTAATTGAATAAAGAGCCAATATCTACATATTAAATTCATAATTTATTAAACTTTGATTCATAATATTATACCTCTAATTAATGTTAAATTTAATAATATATAATATTATATAGGATTACATTCAAGGTCAATTGAATTGTATCATCATTTGAGAAATGATAGATATACCAAATAAAAAAAAGGAAATTATGTGCTTTTAGTGACATGATATTTTTTTACAGTTCACCCCTTAGTGCAAGTGCCAAATCAGCTGGTCGGAGCTCCGACAGGCACAGATGTCACACTGCAGTGTCATGTGGAGGCATCGCCTAAAGCTATTAACTATTGGACAAGAGAGAATGGTAAGAAATTTGGTTTATATTTAATCCTTTACTAACACTACACTGTCAGTAAAAGAAATTAACGGTCTCACTGCTAACAATTTAAAATAACACCCTCCACGCTACATTCCACTACTCCACATGGTTTCCCTTGGAAATCATTGTGGTTAATTTCTAGTGAATTAATCACAACGGACTGACCGCGCCTTTTTTATCCTCACCTATCATCCCTCACCGGTCTACTCCAGTGTACACTGGTAGGTGAATTAGCATTCCATTTTCATCTCATAAAAAAAACATACGCTATCAGTGCACTGGTTGCCAGACAACCTAACCTATGCCCAACTATGGAACGTTTGTTATAGATGGATGCATATTATACAATATTAACCAATTTATATACAATTTAATTCATTATTATATTCGCTCACAAAATGGGTGTAATTATTTATAAAGTATATTTAATATTTTTAAAGAATATAGAATAAATCTTAGCGACTAATGCATCCAGCAATATGAATTTGAAAACATTGGAATATTTACAATAGGCTATCAATTCGGTATGACTCAACTCATGCAAGAAAATCATTAAAATAACTATATTGACTAACTTACACATCGGACTTTATTCGCATCACCCACGAGCAAAAGAGACAACCTCAAAATTATTATAAAAATACGTTGGATACAAAAGAGTCCAGATCATACTTTATGGTGAAATTTTATGGTGATATTTTCAACAGTAGACGATAAATGGGTTACGATGATAATGTAGATTCATGCAATTGCTTAATGACATATCACTTTGTGTTTTGTATTTATATAATTAACGGTAATTTTAAATTAATAATCAATGTTAAAACAATAAAAGAGACAATCATCATTTCAGCAGTTAACTGTCCACTGCTGAGTATAAACCTACCCCATAAGGGGAGTTTTGCCAGTAGTTGCCACGCTTGGCACGCGGGTTGGCAACCGCCGTTAGACTTTTAAAGATGTTTTAAGAAGGATACTGCTGCCCACCCTTCTTTTACCCACCATTAAGTTCTTTTAGTCGCCTCTTACGACACCTACAGGAAAGGAAAGGGTGGCTATTCTATGCTGGGCCCATACAAACGTAAAAGAGCAAATATATTATTTTAATATTAAAATACTCATCTGTATCATGATGATTATGATCCTGCATAAATGTACGTAAGGAGGGAATTTGAACTGATGACTCCATACATTTAATGTAAATACTCTGTTAAAATGTATTTATTTAATTAAGGACAACCAACAAAGCATACATTGATACGAGTATCTACTTAAAATACATGATAATAAGGTTACATTATAAAATGCTGCCTCAATTAAAGTCCGCCATGACATGCGTATTCATATTATATACAACTATTAGGATGAAAAATGATAAAAACTACCATACTAGGTACACAATAAATAGACTACAGTAATACTTTGAATTTGAAAGATTTGTACATTTATAATCTATATATATGTGCAATGATACATACCATGATGTTATTAAGCTGATTAAATTAAACTATAGAATTTATACAAAGTGGACTTGATAATACTTTACATTTACTAACATAGACAAGTGGCAAATGAATTTTCTCAATAGATACATTATCGCCAACACCTGTATGAGATGAAATGATAGCTACAGCGATGTCTGTAGGCCTACTCTCAAATATAATCTCTAAAATTGATAATTTCTCAATTATATACATTAATTAATACATTCAATTATATTCTCTTATATCTTTTAACAACGTTATAAATAATACATTTTATAATACAATTATCAGATAATTGCAGTGAAATATTAGAAATAAAACCTAATCATGTTTCGCTTTGTTCAAAAATAGAGAGCTGTAATTACAATCTTGATTACAGCACTATAATAGGTTCACTATTTACGAGCGACTAGAATCTATAAGACTTATTAACTACTAAGCACGAAATTCGAGAACGGAATAAGCAACTAATTTCATTATTCATAAAGCACATCGGAAGCGTTAAAACACTCATTAAACGAGCCGTTATTCATGTTTCTACTATCTCCCGCGACAGGCCTCTGTAGCTAGTGCTTGCTACAAGTTATGGCATTTTTATGGTTGTATTTAAAAGGAAAAATTATGCGGTTATTTCATGTCAGTTTTTCATTCCGGCCAGATTTATTTTGACTTTGATTATACCGCGTCGATGTTACGGCTTATTAACGACCCCGTAATTATACCGATGAGATGACAACGTAAAATATTGCCCCGTATTAATGGAAGGTAATCGTTCGTTCGTTCTAATGTAAGGTATGTACTGATTTGCTTAATTTTTATAAAATTTTATTATTAGGTAATATTTTCAAGTAAAATTTTCACTGTTACCTTTATAGGGTTCATTTGCGTTTTAAAACTTATCATCCAAACAATATTATTAACCGATCATAATAGGTCAGTCTAAACCTCCCTCCCTTCATGTATCAACATTATAAGAATAATGTATAAAAAAAAGGAGAATATGTATAAACTTCTAAATATTAAAGTACTATAATTGCATTATTGCAATAGTGATTAAGCTTGCAATGAACAAATTATTGTTATTCAATTTAAAAAGGACAATAAATAATAACTAAACTTAATAAAAACACGTGGTAACTAATACAAATAAGGCTCTTAACCTAACAAAACATCAAGGGGTCGGGAACTTCATTAGTCCTTATTAAAATGGCACCCTCAGGATAAAAGTTGCTTATTTAGTGCTCTAGTGACAGATGAGTGAAAACACTCCCTTTGTAAAGAACAGAAGATAAGTTGAATATTTACCCAACTACGTTTCGTGTGTGAAGGTAAATAAAAGACTGAAGTTGGGTGTGAGTACGTGGACTACTGTTCACTACTGTGCGCGCTTCAAATTTAATTAAAAATAACAACTAGAATGACTTTAACTATGTTTTTATATACCAGTAGTTTTGTACTTACATTTACAAGTAACTATGTGTCTATTTTAGTAACTAGACAAGTACTTAGTTTTGACTGATTAAAATTAGTAACTTAGTCTATTAAGACATTACATACGATTTACATTTGAGAAAATTTACCCCAGAAAGTATTCATTTTTTTGCATTTTATATGATTAGATTTAAAAGTTGGATAAACTTTTTTTAAAATCTGTCAATGTATATGAATTTCTAAAATAAAATTAAATAGAAAAGTAGAACTAAAATCAGTCATCTTCAGTTTTTAATATTATCAATTTCGTATATGTTCCGCTAGCTTTTTTCAATTCTGTATTCATAAATATATAAGCGGTATGCAGTAAATTTTTAAACAGTATATATGAAGCAAATTTTCAGTTGAAACGCATCGCCCAAAGCAGTGCGCGGCTAGTGCTCGACATCGCGCCACTACTAAAGTCGAGTTAGGAATGGATTTACGGTGCAAGCCGGCCCGCCCGCCGCGACATGTGTGAGCGGTCCACATACACCGCGCGGCCACAGCTGCCCGGCCGGCACCGACAAAACGAACAAAACTTTTTCGCAATGCGGTCTTTAAACTTATATTTTTGTCGGTCTATTCCAAGTGATTTTCTAGTTAAACGCTTTGTATCCTTTTAAATCTAGATTTATCTTTTTAACATAAAAATTCCCTGCATTTACTCTCAATATAAAAAATGCTTTTTGCAACTTTTAATCATTTGCACTTTCTAACTTGTTAAAAAATAATATAAAATAACCACAGAAAATATATTACTTTTAGTATATTCCTATTTGTATTATATCGGTACTAATATTTATTTCGAGTTATAAAAGCTACTCAATTCAGCTATATACCGGCTCATTCGTAAACCTTCACCGTAAAATATGACTATGAAACTTTTAATGTATACTGTATTATAAGGAACTCTTCTGGATTAGTATTTGAAGCAGATAGATACCAGATATAGACAGATTTAGATACCTATATGTAGTTACAAAGGCAACCGACCTCGCCATTATACGGCCAGAGCGTCCGACATCGCAAAAAGCAGACCAAATTCTATTACCGGTTGATATGCAACAAAGACCGCCGGACCGCCCGTATCCAATTGCTTTAGGTCACAGTCACCATATTTACTTGCACGTACCTATAACAATATGGGCACTATCAAAATCCAATTGTGAAATTCAATAACTGAAAATGGTTTTTGCAATTTCATCTGGTGTGGTCTTCAATCAATCCGCTCGACGTGAACGCAAAGCGCGCGTGGACGCAGACGCAGACGTTACTAACAAATAGAGGGGGTAGACGGCTCTTGTGCGGGCCATAAATTGCGGGGAGTACAAATTAAATTAGGTTATACACAGGCGTGACGAGCCAGGACAAGCGGCTGGCGAGCCGCAGCGGACATGGAATGGGTGTGTCCGACTCTCCCGGCCAGGCCAGCACACAGCCTCAGTTCAGTTTTTGTTGTCATTTTAATACCAAATTCTAATTAAAATTTCTTTGTCGTATATCAATGATAAGGGTTTTTATACGACTTTGGTTTATTGAGCAAGTTTAGGGTCATTATACATTTAAATAACAATAATGTATCATAAAAAGATTATATTATTTAAAAATATCTTATTACATCTTTTATTATCCGACCGTGATTTTATTTGCATGGGACATAAAAATAAAAATTTATATGACTAATTATTATTGGTATTGTTAGAAAAATAATATTTGAAATTGGTTTAGAATTTTCAAAGATTCATATAATTTATTTCTTACAAATTTATTATATATTAGAAAATAATATTTAAAACTAAAAACAATTATTTGATGTGTAAGTGGATATTGTCATTAAACAAAGACACCTCACTCAGTAGAAAGTTTCATTTCTCTATATAATGCCCAAACAAACTTTGGAACGGCAAAGCTTTAGTATTGTCAATTAATTAATATAGTTGTCGAGCAATAAACAAAAGAGGGCGGTGCTGTAGCAGACGGCTACCATCAAGGTGTCAGTAGCAGAGAGAAACCACAGATTTGTGGTCA